AACCTAGTGAATGTTGCGGCTACACCCACAGACTTAAATCACTCTAGCACTATTTGTTAACCTTGTGAATGCTACAGCTACCCTCGCAGTCTTACAACACTTTCCATATTACCTGATCGCTAGTGAATGCTTCGACTATCCCTACAGTATTACAACACTTCCCATACTAACATATCGCTAGTGAGTGTTATGGCTACCCCCACAGTCTTATAACACTTTCCATACTAACTGATCGCTACTGAATGCTACGGCTATCCCCGTAGTCTTACAACACTTCCCATACTAACTGATCGCTAGGGAATGCTATGGCTACCCCCGCAATCTTATAACACTTTCCATACTAACTGATCTCTAGTGAATTCTACGACTACCCCCACAATCTTACAACACTTTCCATACTGATCGAACACGTGCTCGACCAAACACACCACTGAACTTAATTCATCGTTAGAATCCCAACCTGATTTCCCCAAGTTCTGCTATCAAGCACCGAGAAGATGCGATTCACATGCTAAGGAGTTTTACCGAACTCCTAACTCACACAACACTCAAACCAAGCAGCCACTAGGGTTGTCTTCCTTCCTAAAAACGATGCGAAACTTATCCCAGTTTCAAAACCGATTATGCTTCTGCGTTTCGGGACGATTCTCCCCCACTTTAATTCAACTAAGTCTTCACAATACATGAAAATTTGAGAATTCCCAATCCTTCTTACTTTCCAACGATCGATCTGATGACAACCAGACCTTTCCAATTAGTACTCCTTTACTAGCCAACCCCAAATGATCACACACTTCTAATAACTAGATGAACACTTCTTGAATCCCTTATACACATGATCTCAACGCTTAATCTAATGCTGATTGGAGGGATGCCCAAGTCCTAACCACTTGGCAGTCTATATTTGGGTATTGATTCATCCTTGACGGTAATATTATCTCATGGTCATCGAAATGACAGGCTACCATTTCCTGCTCTAGTACCGAAGTGGAATATAGCGGGGTTGCTAGCACTGTTGCCAAGACATCCCAGTTGCGTAATCTGTTAAGGGAGCTCCATTTCACTCCCACCAAGGCAACAATCGTGTATTATGAGAATGTTAATGCGATTTATCTATCTACAAATCTGGTTCAACATCAACACACCAAACATATCGAGATTGACATACAGTTTGTTCGTGAAAAAATAGCTATCGGTGATATTCGTGCTCTTCATGTCCCTAGCACGTCTCAGTATGTCGTCATATTCACCAAGGGACTTCTTTCCTCATTATTTCTCGGTTTCTGATCTAGTCTAAATTTCTGGTTTCCTCCCGTTATGAATCTGGGGGATGTTAGTATATTATGTATAGTGTATTGTATTGGACCCCAATAGCATAAACATATTGTGTATAGGCCTAAGGCCTTATTTGTATTTCTCTATATTTATACATTGAATAGACATTGGGAATTTACCTAATTACATGTGATATTCCTTTCTGATTGTATTGAAAATCGATATTATACGGTTGTTTGTAATGGTTGGAATTTGAAGAAATCTGAAGCATTAATGTTTAAATAATGCTCAAGTTTTAAGGGTTTGTTGTTGTTTCTTTTCTTTTCTTGAATAACTTATAATGATGGAAATTCCTGTAAGTAGTTTCATAATGCTACAACTCCACGGACGAAATTTTCCTTTTTCTTATCATAGGGTAATAAATTGATTCTCATTGGATTGGCATTTTTAAGCTCTTTCCGATTTACGCTTGAGAAATTGCAATAAAGTCCTTACATATTGCACTCATAATCGATTTAGTCCCTATATCTTTTTTATTCAATTAAGTCCCAAAAACTGGTAATCGTATTCAATTTAACTTTTTTACTCGGTCAATAGGTAATCCAACATTCAAAATTATATTTTTGGCCCAGATTTCAAAATTAATTACAAATTTGGTCCAAAATTTACACTATTGGCCCATATTTTAAAATCTATTACAAATTTGGTCTAAAATTTACCTTTTTGGCCCAAATTTTAGAATTTTGTTATGAATTCATCTTAAATTTAGCTGTTTTTATAACTTTTTATCTCGAATATGATTTTTTATAAAATCATATTTATACAAAATATATATATATATATATATATATATATATATATTCACATAAAATATGTTATTCTTTCTATATAAAAACTTTTTTAAAAAAATGGTTTTGTATACGAAATATCTATTTATAAAAATAGGTATTTACTAAGTACATAAATATATACAAATCTTTTTTATAAAAAAAAGTATACAAACACATATTTAGAATATATATATATATATATATATATATATATATATATATATATATATATATATATATATATATATATATATAAACACCTATTTTATTATAAATACATTTGTATGCAAACACATATTTATAAAAAAAAATGTAAAAAAAAAAAAAAACACATATTTCATAGTTAAATTTGTTTCAATAATACACCATGTTAATTAACCTTCGACATACACAATGTGTTTTGGCAATCTTAGTTTATGAACTTTTTTATATTTTTAAGGGTAACAAATGAAGATTATATTGTTTCCACTATGTAATGTGTTTAAATAGAGTGTAGTGATTAAATCTAAAAAATGTTAAAAGAAATGGCTACTATATTCATTCAATAATATATAGAAATAAACTCATAAAACCTAAAATATTTTTATCTAATGTCTTTTTTTACCATTTGTTTTGTTAATAATAATTATAACATATATTAAATTAAGGAATCTATTTTTTTATAGCTTTTAGAGGATATACTAAAAAAATAGTATCCACTACAATGAATAATAATTAATCTTAATACTATAAAAATATTATAATAAAATATGTTGCTCATGTATGCTTATTTTTTAAAGCAAAATATACATTTTAAGGAAATTTTTCATAAAGAGTAAACCATTTATAATGATTGTTAATCATTCAATATATTAAGTTACCCTAAAAATAAGTATTTAATACAATTTTCGGTACAATGTTTTTTTTAATACCCTAAAATCTTTTTTCATACTTTCAACCCTCAACCATTAAACTTAACCATTGAGTTGTTAAACAAATATAAATAGACAAATAGTCGCTAACCTTAAATTAACTATTAGCTTTAATTACGAGAACTTATACCATGATTAGGTTTAATGACAATCATACCATTAGAACATAAATAGAAATTGGTATCAACAATAAATCCCAAATCTTAATAACCGTAAAGTAATGCGATTAACCAATCTTGTAAAAAAATGTGTTGTACTCATGACATTTCAAAAACTTTTGTGGCTCCTTCGCCTTAGTTGTTTTAGTATCACAAAAAATTGTGAACTTATAATAAGGAAATCACAGTTTAGTGTTATAAAATTAATATATTAATTTGTTGCTTTCATGTATAAAATCTGAAGTTGATAATCACCTCATAAATTCCGTATACAAAAAGGTTTATAGAAAATATAAGATTTTTTATGTGGAAATATGTTTTTTTTTTTTTTCTAAAAATGATTTTATAAAAAAAAACATATTCAAAACAAAATTTTGAGAAAAAAGTTTGTAGAAAAACAAATTTTAGGATGAATTCATAACAAAATTCTAAAATTTGGGCCAAAAGGGTAAATTTAGGACTAAATTTGTAATAAATTTTAAAATTTGAACCAAAAGTGTAAATTTTAAACCAAATTTGTAATAAATTTTAAAATTTAGGCCAAAAATGTAATTTTTGAAAGTTGGATGTACGGTTGACCGGATAAAAGGGTTAAATTGAATTGGATTACCAATTTTTGAGACTTAATTGAATAAAAATAAATATAAAAACTAAATCGATTTTGAGTGCAATCTATAAGATTTTGTTGGAGTTTTCCTTTACAGAATATTTTCTTGGATCTGAATTTACTAAGGATAATTCATAATAGTACTCGGAAGCCCCACTTATCTTTGAAGTCATAAAATATGTAATTGCTATCCTCAAATGCTTTTAGGTCCATCAGTATATAAATTAGCCAAGGTCTTTAGCATAAGACAGTTGTGGTTCTTTCTGGAGCCTTGAAATCTGTTAGGGAAATATTCTTTTCATTGAAGCATTCCAAACGTATTGTAGCATCTTCCATATTTTTGACATTTGACTCTACTGGTGTCAAAAGTTTCTTTCAATGAAGCATTCCGAACTTCTTTAACAAGTAGGATATTTTTGTTGTTGGGGAAATATTCCTTCTCAGAGTATAATTGAACTCTAGAAAAAGAAATTGCTTAAGCTCCCCAAGATCCTTCATCTAGAATGAACACACAAATGCTAGCTATGTGGTTATTAATCAATTGTCATATGTGTGATTAATCTGAGGTATCAACATATTATTTCAACTATCAACTGTTTCAAGTCCTCATAAACATTAAGAAAACGGGTGTAGGATGTAAGACGTATTGATGCTAATGTCCCCACATAAAGAATGTTAATGTGCCTTGGAAAATATTTCTATGCTCTTGATGATGTCAAGAGACCATGAGGAGTGTTTGGCTAAGTCATAACTGAGTTACACGGGAGTGTTTGGCTAAAGTTATTACTGAGTTATTCATGAGTGTTTGGCAATTGAATCTTAAACCTGAGTAATAAAACTGGTTTTATTGTGAAACTTAAATGACATAGAAAGTAAGATAGTTCAATGGGTGAAATTGCATTGTTACTAGATTCAATCCTTAAATAGAGTTTTATGTTCATATTAATCCAGAAAATGAGATTGTAATGTACATAAGACATCCCTCCAAGTAATTGGCTAATTGGCTAATTGGCAAATGAAACTACAAAAAGCTAAACATCACAATGAATTACCTCTATATGGCTATAACAATATATATACTATTCGAGTTGCTACCAAGCCACATCTATCAAATAGCCGATGATAAAACTCTTAGTGTTCTCTTTCAAACTTCCAGCCACGTGTATATATATATATATATATATATATATATATATATATATATATATATATATATATTGTTCAAATAGAATTGGATTACCATACTTAGAACATATCGACTTCCAAAATCTTGGAGGAAATGGCAGCAGCAAGTTCTGCAGTGAAATCAGGATCTTTTCCTAAAAAAGTAGCCATTTTTTTCACCAAAACCTCATCAAATCTTGGGGAGTTTGACCTTCTTTCACTACTTGAAATCTTATGTTCATTGGCTAGGGCATACGCAGCCTCTTCCTTTGTGCTTCTGTGGTTGTGCTCACCTTCATAGGTCGCAACTACTACACCAGGATCATCCGCACTTCTTTGCACCTGAAAACAACATCATACACATAAGCAAACTTTGAACAAAATTCTCTCTCTATATATATCAACATGAAATCATGATAAAACTTATTAGTAGTAGATAAGTTTATCAAACCAAGGATTTCTTATGTATATCTTGGAGAAATTAAGAAGGAAGGGAGAGAGATGGTGTTCTTGCCTTCTTCTTGACTGGGCATGTTGGTGAAGAAGAGCACTTATAATAAGCTCTAGGAGATGGGTTGTCTCTAGTCACCTTTTGTCCATATTTCCTCCATTGATATCCATCCTTCACTACCTATAATTAAATGCAACACTTTGACTTTAATCAATTCTTCTTAAAAGGGGTGCAATGGTTTCTTGTTCAGGGAATTAATTGAAGACGAAGAAAAAATTGATCGAGTACCAGGCTTTTATCAGATGGATCTGTTGGTATATAAACTCTTCGAACCCCAGTATTCCTTGGTGATTCCAAGTTCCAATTCTGTGTCTTCCACAAGCTTTGTTGAACTGTCTCATCGAGCTTTCTTTTCTTTGGATTCGATTCCAATACTTGTTTTTCTTGCATTAGTTTCTTGACATGCGTTTGAAGAGAGTTGTAGTTCTCCCATACGATCTTAAGCATCTCCTTTAGCTTCTTGTTTTCGTTGTTTATCCTGCTTAAATGATCCCCACTGATCATATGATCATCAACCTGTTCGTATATATGTACACCGTTCGTCAATATAACTACAGGAAAATGGCGCACACACACACACACACACTTCATTCATGTAATAAAAGTTTCGAATGCATGTAATTAACCAGAAACCTCTTTTCCAAACGAACAATCGTCTTCTTCCTCCCCATCATCATCATCGTCATCATAATCATCATCGGTGTGAACTTCTCTAATCTTAACCACAACGAGTAAACAAGTTATATATATTATACATAGATGTAATTAACGGAAATGCTTATTTAAGCATTAGTCAGGTATATGTAAGTACTTACTGGTGTGTCATCGGTTTTGTGGAAGGGGAAAAGATTGAGGTCTATGGCAAATGATGATGCCACCATTATTGCTGGTCTGAAGAATTAATTGTTCAACTGATTGAAGAAGAAGCCAACAAGGGTTCGCAGTCTTATAGAGATTTAAAGTCCGAAAGTCTTTGTCTGTTTTTTAATTGCATAGAGATATTTCCAAGCAAGCTGATTAGACTTGTATGAACTCTCAATCAATAAATAAATAAATAAATAAATAAATAATGTTTTAAAAGATAAATATTGGGGTAATTACTATTTCTATTCGAATCAATAAGAAAGTAAATAAGTGTAGACTTTTGACTTGAAACTTATGGTATGGTCTTTCGTAACAAGAAGCTCCCCGGAAAAAAAAAAAAGGACAAATCCACCTGTCATGCTTGCGTGTTGGGATGTACGTGGGTAATATATAAATTTGTTTTTTTTTTTTTTTTTATTATTCATTTTATCCAAAAACATTATCAACTGTATAATAAAAATTAATAATTTTTAATTTTTAATAATTATAAGTCAATATTGTTTAAAGATAGATTTATATGACAAAATTGATTTGTAAGTTCTATTAAACTATGAATATTGTTAACAGAGTAATTTTTTGTCATTAAGATATGTCGATATTGATTTTTAAACGATGAAACTAAAGAATTATTAACTTTGATATGCTTTTAAATAAAAAAAAGTTAATAATAAAAGGAAAAAATAATGATCATTGTTAATCTTCAGGTATTAAGGTTCATATATTTTTATGGATTCTATATATATATATATATATATATATATATATATATATATATATATATATATATATGTATTCTTTCTTATTAAAAACACCTTGATATTAAGGTTCATATATTTTTAATTGGATGCTCTACCAAATAATCAAAGTTGGTATTTTTATTTATTTAAAATAATAACTATGTTAACGTTTATATTACCTTATGTGTTAAAAAAATTTAACTACTCAAAAGTTAAAATCAACGACAAAAGTACCATTCATGAATTTTTCAAAACCATAAACAACAGTGGTGTAACGTTTTTCATAGAAGTCCTTAAAGTGTAATATTTTATAAACGATAGGGTCTAATTATGAAATATTAAAAAAAATTGATGGTCATTGATACGGCATCAAGATATAGTCATATGTATTGCGTCACATTCATTGCATCACTTGTAAGTTGTAACACTAAAACTAAAAAAGAAAGACTTTCTTTCTTCTCTAACAAACCTTGTCCCCAAGTCTATGCATAAAATATTTTTCCATACCATTGAATTTAATCTGGAAATTTCGGCTTCAATTTATTAATTAATTCATATGATTCGATAAGAAAAATGTATAATGCTTATTGAGTGCCTGCGTGGTCTTTGACCAAACTGTAAAAACTTTACTAATGTTTACTAATGTGTGTAAACTGGTTAATTTGTCGCATATCATAGAAAATGAAAGTTTGAAAATCTAAGAGCATCATTTTTTACTTAGAACCTTTTAATAATAATAAAAAAAAAACTCAAAATATATAATTGAATTTTTTATTTTGCTTTTTATATATTAGTTATGTATAGATATTGTATGGTTTTAATTATATAGAAATCTATAAGTCTCAAGTGTCTCACACAATAAATGGAAAAACTCTTGGTTAGGGCGGACGGTATCGATAGAGGGCTCTGGCAAGAGAACGGCGTTACCACCAAGGCGACGAATCCGAGCAACAATGGTACCGCCAGAAGAAGCTGCTTGTGGGTTATGGAACTGCTCCTCTATACTCTTTCTACATGTACATTGTGCTTGTTTGCTTGTATTGTATTACATTGTACTTGTTTGCTTGTATTGTATGTAGTGTCGTATGTTTTTAATTGAGTGAGTTGGAACGAAAAGTATAGGTTTCCATATATCGTGGCTCAGAAAAATGAAAGAGAGTTGATGCAAAAAATTTGATGTGACAAACATATTGAGTGGGTTACGAATAGTGAATACCCTCCACCTTTAGAGTTTGTTAAATACAAGCTTGCACAAAAGTTTTGAAATTAAAAAGATCTCTAAATATGTTTTTTTTTTTTGTTTTTTCAAAAGGTTTTTTTTGTTTAAAAAATCTCTTGAAAAAGTTCCTATTGTTAACGTTTTAAGGGCATATGGTATCCTCCGTAGGCTTGACTCTTGGGTTGGTGGTACTATCGGTGTGTAACGTCCCAAAATACGACCCATAAATTTTTGTTTAATAATTACTAAAAACATCATGTTAATATCATAAAATAAAACTTGTACGTCAATATCTCAAAACCATAGCAAAGTATCACGAGGAAACTGTATCAAGACTATATCAAATCATATCTATGAAAAGCTAAAACAACTCCCAGGACAAACTGAAGCTGTGGTGTGTGCGATGCTATCAACCCGAGCTCTTCCCTTTACTTGCGGAAGTACCTGAAACCAAAACTGAAACTGTAAGCACAAGGCTTAGTAAGCTCCCCCAAGCTACCACATACCATACAATAACATATAAACATATACCAGGCCTTGCCCACTGCATCGGACCGAAGTCCGGAACCTAACCAGGGTCTTGCCCTCTGCATCGGACCGAAGTCCGGAAACTGCATCGGGCCGAAGTCCGGAACTGACTGGGACCTTATCCCCTGCATCGGACCGAAGTTCGGAACAAACTGCATCGGACCGAAGTCTGGAAACTGTCTGAGCATAACATGGCATGGCATAAACGTATCAACTAGCATGAAGACATAAACTGCATACTGCATCGGGCCGTAGCCCGAAACACATAACACATAAATCCTGTCTGAGCCACGAAGTCATCAAACATACTAAAAACTACATCGGACCGAAGTCCGGAAACTGCTACTAGCTAAACGAGCCAACATTGTGGCCTTAGACCCATTCCTACTGGAAGGAAACTCACCTCGTATACTGGCTGCTAAATGAACTGCTCTGGAAACCTTCTGCTAATGCTCCGGTATCTCCCCAGCTACAATTTCCATAACTACATTCAATCAATTACTGATAACTGTACTGAGGGTGAAATGACTATTTTACCCCTGGTCAAAGTCAAACTCCTGGTCAAGGCCAACCTCCAGTTGACCGGACTCGCCAAGTCTGAGGAACTACTCGCCGAGTTCTGTCGTGCCGACTCTAACTACATTCGAATCGCTTTATGGTTCCTAACTCGTAGATCTGAAATCTTGGAATCATCTGAACACGTAAAGTTGCTAACTTTACGTGTAACTACGAAGGAATGAAGCCATCCTACTCAAACACAACTTTACTCGGGAAAACTCATCCGACTCGCCGAGTTTCTCATACAACTCGTCGAGTTCTAAGGCAAACTTCATCGGACTCGCCGAGTTATTCTTCCAACTCGTCGAGTCGACGGCTAACTTCATATAACTCGCCGAGCCGCCCTGAGGACTCGCCGAGTTCATTCAGTCCTTTTTCCATACAGGTCCTATCTGAGCCATGCAGTTGTTACAAATCATGGATGTAAACTTCTAGGGCATGTTTTTCACGTAAAGTTGCTAACTTTACGTGCATGCATGGCTTTAAAGGCTTCATATGACCAAAATAAGCTCTTAATGAGGTTCTAGGCTCAATAGGGACTTTAATCACAACCACAACCAAAACTTTATACTTCTAGCATGCCATGAGTGTCCAGATCTGAGGTATAACCCGACCACAAGGCCTAATCATAAGGGATTTGGGGTTTTTGGGCTTAGAAACCACAAATTAGGGTCAGCAAAGATCTATATGATCAATAAGAAAGGTATAGAATTTAATACCACAAAAGATGACCAATAGAGTGTGTATTCTGGATCTACTTCCTCTTCCTTGAACTCTCAAACTTTCTCCTTCTCCTTCTTACTCCAAATATGCCTTCACAAGCAATAAACACACACATACTCACTAAGAAAATGGCTAGGGTTTGTTAGTTGATGCTCTGGAGGTGAAAGAGACGAGTTTGGGCGCATAAGAGGGTTTAAATAGGTGCAAAACCCTAAAATTTGGGTTTCCTCCAAACAGGCAAACTCGCCGAGTCCAATGTGTGGACTCGCCGAGTAACCGGCTAAATACGCATGCTCATCCAGTCTCTACTCGATGAGTCGGGCAACGGACTAGTCGAGTTCCTCACAAAGGAATAAACTTATTTAAATACATATCGGGAATGGGGCGCTACACGGTGGTTCGATACAAGCAATATCTAGGTTTCACATATTGGGTGTTTGGCGGGCTGTGTAACCCGCGATTTTTCCTGGAACGATAACAATTTTAAAAATAGTATTATTTTTATGTTTTTAATACATTTTCCTATTATAAATACCACTCGATTACATTACAAAACGACACCTCTTGCTTCATTCAATTTCATTCCATTTTGCTCGTTAATTTTTATTCTCACTTTCTATTCAATTTTTAAATGGATGTTATTCATAGGTCCGTCGGATGCGTAGAATGATCCAAAATTAAAGAAGTAGCGATGACACTATAAAAAATAGGCAAATTATTCAACATAGATCGTCATATTTTTGTTGATTTGTTCTGAATCATATTAAGCAACACCTTAGGGGTTTGGATCATTCAACACATCAAATTGTTTCCGAAGGGAAATATATGCAGTGAAAAGTTAAACAATTTATTGTTATTTTCAATCACAAGATAAATACCCAGGAGGTAGGTGTTTCTAATGAAGACGTTTTAAATGTAACCAAAATGATTATCCCGAACAGCGTAACATGAAAGATTTTCGTTACGAGATGAAGTGAATTTTTTTAAATAAATCACATTTTTCTTGAAGAATTGAAGTATTTCTTTTAATTTGTTGTTTGTAGTAATTTAGTATTTATTTTCATTTTAATTATGTTTTAAGATGTAATTTATGTTTTATTGTAATATGGTTTTTTAATTAAATGTTATATAATATTAATTTATAATTATTTTATTTTAAGTTAGTAAATATTATTTTAAAGAATAAAAAATTTTAAAAACTTATTTTTTTATTTTACTTTTAGTTTTCTAATTTAATTAAATTAGAAATAGGGAGTGAGTAGAGTGAGTTGTGAAAG